AACAAGCCACATTAAAAAGACTCATTAGAACCGAATCGAGTAATGAGAAAACCAAAAGTAGGTTCCAGGAACAACTGAGGTCACACTTAGGTAGTTCTGAAAACGAGGCTGACCCAGATGTTGCTTGGAAAGTTATACAAGCAGCTGTGGAAACAGCAGTGACATCTACTAGTGACTTAAACCACAGGGTTACTAAGAACCAATGGATTTCTTCAAGGTCTATTACATTGATGGATTTTCGTAAACTCATCTTATCAGGCTCTGAACACGACGATGAGCGAAAGCAAATCAGATCTAGGTTAAGCAAAAGTCTAAGGAACGATCGTGAGCAGTGGTGGGCAACGAAACAAAAGAGATGGAAAAGGCGGCGTCTATAGGTAACACCAGACAGCTCTTCAGACTCATAAAAGAAACTGGAACTAAAAAGTCAGGTGTAAGTGAGACTATCTCAAAAAACGATGATGTTCTTATCTGCTCCCAGTTCAGACGTTTAGAACGATGGGCGGAACACTTTAAGGAGCAGTTCAGTTGGCCTTCAGCTACTCTACAACTACCCTCCATTCCCAGACAGCTTGAATGGAACATTAAAATAGGTCCCCCGAATCTAGCTGAAGTTCAAAAGGCTATAGTTAATCCGAAACGAGGAATGGCAGCTGGTCCAGATGGATCGGTTCCAGGGGTCTTTAAGGATGGTGGACTAGTTTTGGCGATTAGGTTGACTAATATTTTAGCTAAAATCTGGGAGTTAGACGTTATTCCCTCTAACTGGTCACAATCACTTATCGTCCCAATATTTAAGAAAGGGTCAAAATCATCCTGTGACAACCACAGAGGGATTAGTTTGACTAATATAGTATCTAAAATACTAGCCTCGATAATTATCGGATGCCTAACTAGGACTCGTGAACTAGAAACACGAGAGAATCAAGCTGGCTTCAGACCTGGTCGTGGCTGCATCGACCACATATTCATCATTCGTCAGGTTATAGAACACAGGCATACTTATCGGCGTCTGACGATGGTGGTCTTCCTTGACTTAAAAGCAGCATTTGACTCTGTAGACCGAGAGGTTCTGTGGCAGTGTCTGTCATTGAAAGGCGTACCTCAGAAGTACATAAACCTTGTGAAGGCTCGTTACTCGAACACTACTAGTCGAGTCAGAGCTTATGGCGAACTGTCACCTGCTTTTGCAACCTCAAGTGGCGTCCGTAAAGGCTGTCCACTTTCTCCATTTTTGTTTAACTTCATAATAGATCTACTGATGGAAATAACACTCTCATCGACTGAATTCCTGGGCTTTGATCTCCTACCAGGAGGTCCACTTATCGACTTAGAATACGCTGATGATATAGTCCTGTTTGGTGAGGACGCTGATGAAATGCAGAGTCTTTTGATAGCACTGAGCAACAATGCCAGAATGTTTGGGATGCGCTTCTCTCCCTCCAAGTGCAAGTTGTTGCTTCAGGACTGGTCTGCGTCAACACCTGAACTAAGGATAGGGAGTGAAGTAGTCGAACGCGTCGACAACTTCACTCACCTTGGAAGTCTGATCAGCCCTAATGGGTTGGTGTCCGACGAAATCTCTACACGGATTCGAAAAGCTCGTTTGGCTTTTGCCAACTTACGTCACCTATGGCGAAGGCGAGATATCCGTCTATCAATTAAGGGACGAGTATATCGCGCGGCAGTTCGTTCCGTTCTACCATACGGCTGCGAAACATGGCATCTAAGAGTAGAAGATACTCATAAGTTACTAGTATTTGACCACAGATGCCTTAGGAATATTGCTCACATCTGCTGGGATCACCGGGTAAGTAATAGTGAGGTTAGACGCAGGGTATTAGGGAATGATGGTAAATCAGTTGATGAGGTTATGAATCTTCATCGACTGAAATGGTTCGGCCACGTGTTGCGTATGCCTGAACACCGATTACCACGACGCACAACGCTAACCGGTGTTCGGGATAATTGGAAGAAAGTTAGTGGCGGCCAAACCAAAACGTGGTATCAGTGCTTGAAGTCACTAACTTCTAGTCTGAGCCATGTTGATAGATGCAGACTATCTGGTTGGGGTCCGCGTGACTATCGTAACCAATGGTTGGAGACTCTTGGTGACATGGCTCAGAATCGATCACAATGGCGTCAGCGCATTCACTCTCGGTCTTCCTTTAAACTAAGAGATTAGAATCGCTTCATATCTTTCTTTCTACGAACTAATTCTTTCTTCCTGTACTATATCTTTATGTGAAATCTTTCTTCTATATATTACCACCAGTGAATTAACTACTTCTATCAATCCGGTGTTCATCTTGTTGTGCTAATGAGGTATGGCAACTTGAACCGGTGCATATATGTGCCTGACCCTACGTTGCAGCTGACTGACTGAGAGGTTTGTTTTATCTTAGCGTCCGACTTGTGAACTCATGATTTCCACAAGGATCAGACTCATAAATTTCAGTTCTCGAGACAAGTAATCTACCTCTTGACCTTTGATTCAACACTCAGTGGTCCTCAAGATCTGAAATTCTTGGGTTCGATTCCTCATCGTATCTGGAATACCACACCAGAAGGAAATAATTTCTCAGTACTTTCCGCTAATTTGTAGTTTTCTTCCACCAAAGCTAGTTCGTAATACAAATTATTTTTAGTGATCGTCAGTATAGGGTTGTGAAGATTATTGAATTTCATTGAAATCACGAACCGAGAAAAATTTGGACAACAACTAGAAGCCTGGAAGGACTGGATGGCTATTTCATCTTAGTATGGGATTCCTAGGCAGTGTGCGTCCACGACCTTGCATCCGGGAATAAAACACAGGACCATTACTCTCACGGACGAACACTGGACTACTAAACCAGTGAGCCAAGATTTAACGGTGCACAAATCTAACTTGAATCAGTCTAGTATTTCGATTATTTTGTAGGCACTGGAATAATCTGATAAGTAATTTTTCCGATTCCTTAAATCTTGAGCTCCTTATGAACGCATTTCATCTAATAACATATAATGTGAATATCTGCTGTTGAAATTTAAATTGTCTTAAAATTGACCAAGGCATTACAAATAACTATTACTTTCATTTTTATAAAACAAGATGATTTGAAATGAATGTGAATAAACCAAAAAAATACTATAGTCGTGCAGCAATATAGTAATAGTATACATAGAATGTATGTGTGAATACATGTATGCAGATCCATTTTGTAAACGATGCGTTTCACGTAATTGATTCTTTGCAGTTGCTTTGTGTTTAAAACTAAACGAATTCTAATACAAATACACTTATCTCGACTTCGATCACTGATCCTATGGAGTTTTCACATTGTATGTAAATTTGCTTTGTAAAATGTTCTTAATTTTATTATTGTGTCGGGAATCTGGTTTATTTTCTTGTTAACATACAGTATTCATAAACTATTTAGCAATATAGCTGAACTTGAGTAAAGTTCGACAGACATCTTGAAGTGCTTAAGGGATAGTGTAACTTGCTTCACAAACTAACGTGAGCGACTAGGCAGAGATCGGGCTAGTCCCCCACTCTATCGTGAATATGGAATACCTGAGAGGAGATTGAGGTATGGACCAGTTTGAATTGTAGGACTGGAGAAAAAATCGATTCTTTTTGGTGCCTAATTAAATTTTTTCCGGAAGGGTCGACTGGGTCTAATGAGAACTAGAGAAAAAAGACCATAAGCTATACCATAAACAATGTACACAGGTTGACATTAAACGCACTTGCATGAAGGAAGTAACCATCAATAAATAATTTTTAACCCGACCTTTAGGTAACAAAACCAAGTCGCAAATATACTTATGTGTATACTATGGGATGTAAAAACCTTGGTCTATACATTCGCTATATGTATGTAACATACACTTGGGACTGCGCACATCTATTCCTGTGTGTACTGCGGAGTGTACATGTCTCGGACTTGTGCATTCTATATATATATATATATATATATATATATATATATATATATATATATATATATATATATATATATATATATATATATATATATATATCACTTTATTTATCACTTTAGTTTCACACATCTTTACAAAAGCGTTTTTTCCCAAAGTGCCGGTCGGCTTTTCTACTTAGTTAGGCGGGTTAAGCAAACAAAAACCTTCCATAAACTATTTAATAATGCAGGTGAAGTGGAAGAAGGCCTACAACTAATCTAACAAAATGCCAACTGTATTAACTTGTTCAACGTGAATGAAGATATAGTAGAAAAGAACCTTTTTTAATTAATTTCCGAATTTAGTACTACAAAACACCAGTCCATCATGCTTTTTATAAATGATAACTGTCATCTGAACAACACTACGTCAAAATTACTTAGTTTTTTTGGTTTACTTTTAATTCTCAGATAGATTGGCCTTTTCATATTACGTACCATAGGAGATAGAAAGAGCATTTAGTGTATCTTGTTTCGTTTCTATCTTTGGATTTACCTGTATCAACTGATATAAAAACATGTCAATATTCATTTTCACTTTATTCTTTTGCTTCAAAATAGAAATTTAACGACCCCAATAGGAATCGATCCCAGGAAGAACAATATACCACATAGTTGAAAACCTACCATTCATATTTGCAATTTTAGCCAATTCACAGTATAACTTAAACAATATTATGATTGAGACTTCTCTGCCCTACTAGATCTTCGGGATTTTTGTTTTTAAATTAAGTTACTAATACATAAGTACCCAATCATAACTATTAATAAGGTTAGGATTTCTGTAGTATCTTTAATTAAAGGTTCGTTTTCAAAGTAAACACATTTAATTTATAGCAAATCTTACAAAGTTACGATTATAACATAATCTCATTCATTATCAGTTTATGGATTTGAAATAAAAAGGGAAGGTAAAAAAAACTTATTTTATTTAAAATAGAGTATATATATATGTCTACATATTATATATAGGCGAAATAATTAAACTGTGTTAATCAAATAAATTTATGAGACAATATATAAATATACTAATTACAAGTGTGTTCGCATTTGATTTCGGCTAATATTTACACTATCCGAAGATACAATAAAGAATTCATCAAACGACTGCAATTCATCTTTTGGTATATAATCTGGGTTGTGAGGATCATAACCGTTTTGTTTATCTTTATGAAAGAAATCAATATTTCGCCAAACTGCTATAACGTTCACAGTTATTAAAATGAGAAATACAATGAGCCACTAAAAGTGATAGTAAAAATAAAAAGGAGACAATCAAAACAGTTCATGCTATTAATTTGTCTAAAATGTATCAATAATTTTTACAGATATTTGTATATTTCAAAGTTAGTTTCCATCATTAACTGCTATTAGGTGAGAAATTTTCCAACAGCAGAGAGTAGTTGAAACATCATTGGAAAAACAGGATACTAGATAGCTGTTTAAACCTTGGAATTTTCAGCTCGTGTAGGAGTAAGTTGAAAGAAAACTATGGATGGCTACAGCAAAATTCCGAATTAGTTCGTGAAAACATTTGAGCCTTGTTAGTAGATTCAGACTACCTATCTGGGGCCCATACGACAATACCTATCAGTGGTTATGTGGCGTGTGCTACTTATATAGACATAAGTAGTATATAATGTTAGTCGTGAACAGAATGTCTAGCTGCAGAAAGACGAGAAGATCGAACAGTAAAGAATGAAGACAGCGTGCAATTTGTGTGAAAATGCATGAACAAAGGAAGTCTGAGTCATTTGAGACAATTGATGGACATTTCGCAAATTGAGCATTTAATATATGGTTGTTAGATTTTACTAACTAGTTCTGTAATTTGTTGTTAAATACATTCGATTGTTCCAATTAGTGTTCTTGTTCACTACAGTTATAGATGCTGGGTGTTTTCGCTAAGAATCCGTCAAATATATTTTCCCTTATCTTATCGAACCATATTTTCAATCTCTCACATTATTGTTGCCGCTACATTATTTCGATTGCTTTGTTATTTATCTTAATAATTTCATTTCGTTGTGCTAATGTAGCATGATAACTTAGGCAAACACATATTTGTCAAGGTCTATGTTGATTATGATTGAGTAGTCCTAGCAATGTACACATATGATTTCATGCACTAGTAAACCTAACACCTTCAAGTTCTCCAATTTTTATGAGTTAGGATTCAGTGGATCAAATGTCAAAATCCAGTTTGTGACAATGCTCAATACTCATTCAACACCGTCGGTGATTTAGCATTTTCCTTCCAAATTACCATTGGAAAGTGTTTTGCTCAAGTTATTTATGTATTTTAAAGCATTCTCAGGTTAACAACAGTTCTCACTCTTAAGTTCATCATGAAACTTAATAATAAAAATTGTCATCACTTTTTAGTAGAAATTTCAGTTCATTAAAAAAAATTCTAAACAGAATTTTGAAACAGTATTTGTTTTACCTCAAGTAATGTAGTAGTCATTGAATCCAAAGTAAGTTGATACCATTTTGGATTAGATTTTATTAAATCATATGCCCACCAAATAATCAATCCGGTTCCGGATAAAGGCACCAAAACACTGTTAATAAGAAACAAATTAAAGGCTTCGTTATGAAAAGTTAGATTTTCAAAATAATAACTAATTTAAGAAGTATGTTTGCATTATAATTCGGAATTCAGATATGTTTTATGTTCTGGTGTATAGTTGATTTGCAAAACAATTTATAAAGTCCTTTTATTATATTATCGTAATAAATCTAAAATTACCAATAAACTTTTCAGTTCCATTTATATAGCAAACTTTTTATGAAAGCTTAAAATTGCGATGTAAAAATAGGAATAGTATGTTCAGTGGGAAATGTGGTTAAGATAAGGTTATAACACTTCATAGTGGTGCATTAGCTTGTTGTTCTCATGTTACCACCAGAAAACACATTTTCATTTCATAGTCTTGATTTAACTTAGACTATTTTGACTATGATTATCGTCAAAAACTGACATCAGCTGATGAGCCAATGGACATCAAAGGGCACTATTCAAATATTCGGTCCTATTTGAAGACACCTTATCAATCTACATCTACGATCCCAAAACGCATAATAAGTTGCAGGGATCTTAATTACTGTAATGAGCACGATATCTTCAAATAACTGAGTTGAGATTCATTCAGTTGATTCTTAGTGTAACAAAATACCATGGTCTATATACATATTAGTTCCAAGATATAGTCTTGCTATGAATGACTTCATGGACTGATGATGTTTCTTCGAATGAGCATTCTCATTCTTCTTTCATTCTATTTCAATGTTAACCGCTGTTGCTCCTCTATGTAAGCAGCGACTGAATAGACATAAAATCGAAAGATACATTTATCAACTGTACTTTTGTTTGATATAGTTTTATCACCAGATGAAATAAGCATTAATTTATAGAGTATCTCTTTTATCATATGATATGTAGCTTGTTAACCTTGTTATCAAAATGTGAATCTCTTTCCAAGCAGTTTTTTTGTTTTCAGTAAACATAGAAACAAACTGTTTTTTTAATATTCTTTTGTCATAAAGCTAATTGTATCTGATTCTTGCCTATGATACAAGTTAAGAAGTAAATTAGGATCAAAACACTAATTAAGCGTTTTCTTAATTAAATTTAATGCTTAAATTTGGCTTTTTTGGTTTATTACAGTATGGGATTATGACGCATCATTAAATATGATATAATGAAAAGTATTTCGTAATTTTAAAAATTTTGTTAAAAAAAATAAATATTCCTAAAATGCAATTTCTATCCAATTTCTCATTATGATTGATTGTTTTAAACTTTATCACGCATATAGCTTGACGTTAGACAGAAATCGATTTTATAAATATTTCACTGCATTTTTCTTTTTAAAAATTTAATAATAATATATTTTGTGATATTTGTAATTTTATAGTTGAATTCATGAGTCAGTTAAAACTAGACCACCATGGAAAACCTGGAAGCACTGAACGGCGGTTTCGTGGAGTTCAACCGGCTTCGTTGTGAGATAGTAACTCACTGGATTTGTTGAAGTTAGACATTAACACCGTTGGATGCCAATTCAGCGATCAAGAGTTTATGCGTTCGCGTTCGAGACTAATAGGTCCTGGGTTTGAACCCCGAGGAGCGGAATCGTGAATGCGCTCTGCTGAGGAGTTGCATACTAGGACGAAACGGCCTTTCAGTGCTTCTAGGTTTTCCATGATGGTCTAGCTTCAATTGATTCATGAATTCAACTATAAAATTACTTAAATCTCTTCAAAATCCCCTTCTGATAATTTTTGTAACTGTTTGAATAAGAAATTTTAAATAGTTGAAAAAAGAAACAATCCCAAAGTTTAATTTACTTTAAATAATTTAGTTAAAAACATAAATAATCTAACTGATAGTTCTTTGTTGAGTTTGTCTAAATGAATTAATCTTATAGTTTTCCGAATTATTTACGACACTATACACATTAAGGTTTGCCTTACATCTGTTCTACGATATGATTGTGCTACTTTGGATATTATTTGTAGTTTAATTCAATCGGGGAATTTTGTTAATTAGTTTTTCGTTGTTGTTAGTTGTGTTTGATAATAATGATAAATCTAAAATCTCATATTGAGAAATAATTTTTCTTCACAGATTGATATTGATTTTAGAAAACTATACAATATTAGACAATTGTTTTGATCTAATTCCAATCTCAGTATTGTACGCTGAAAAACCTATATGAAAAGGAGTCAAATACTTATGCTGATTCAGATACGTTTAAAGGATTGAACGAAAATATAATGGTCTATTGTTAAACCTGATTTTAACTCACGGCATAGTGACTAACATTTATCATTAAAATGATAACTGCCGTTGTTTTGTTCATTAACGGCCTTCACAATATGTCACCCATACATCCTCAATTTTTACATGAAAATGAATCGTGGGTGTCCAGTTCTGAAATTCTTAACCAGGATAAAGTAGGTTCTCAACACTTCCTAACTTACTTTAATTCTGAAGCTAATTAATAATTAAAAGCCACTTATCGATCGGTTAAATACACATGAACTTTATTCAGATAAATGCATACTTATAAAATGGCTCACTTGGTCACTCATAGTTCTGTGAAATAAGCACATTCATGACAGGAAAATTTTGTATATACTAGCTTTCAATGACATAAGCTTTTTGATATTATTAAACGTTTAATGACAGGATTATTATGACGTTTAACAAACCTTATCATAAAGACCCAAACAACTGGAAGTTTCCAATCATCGATTCCAAAATCATTCACAATGACCCTTCTGTATTTCATTGGACCATAAATTATTATTAGACCAGCCATAGATAAACCGGATAACATAAGTGCGAAACCCCAAACATTGTCCTACAAAATATTATCAATATTTAAAGACGTGCATGATATTGTTGCTAACAGTATTAGAAAGTTAATCATAGTGGACTATTATAAAAGTGCTTCTGAAGCGAAATTTAAATTATTTATCACTCGATATCTGCTTCACTGCAACAGAGTTAGGAGCAAGTTGGATGTAGTTTTTAATATTATACAGTGGTAACATATTTTAGTTTGTTTTATAATCTCCTCAACCACAGTTCTAACATACCACTGGGGTAGACTGTAGTTTTTGTTATTAACAAATGTTCAATCATATTAGCCAAAAAAGTTAGTGACCTATTTGAAAACTTGTATGTCTGTTAAGCATGCCACATCTAACAGCAATGTTGCTCACTTTGTTGTCCCACAAGTTAGACAGGATGTAATTTAAACATGTTTTTACTACCTAATATTTTTTTCAAATTTATTGCGATTTGAAATCAAACCTAACCCTTTCCAAATTTCTCCACGACAATTATCTTCCTGTTTTGCCATTGTTAAAGACGCCATTATTTTCATCCCACTTTGAAGGTTATTGAAAATGTATTTATACATAAAATGTATTAACCTATTTTCCTTATTGGATGTATTCAATAAATCGTCAATTCAGTAAATGAGAATTATAATAGCTGATGGCTAAGGAAGATGAATAGGGATTTATGATTGCTTACTGATTAAAACGTTTAGGTTTACAATATTTCAAACATTATGGGAAAGTATCAAATAACTGCTTGATCCTATCAGTGATACATCTGATGTAATTTAGTAAAAAGGGAATCAGTTGTTTTGTCTGCAACAATATCTAACTATACAACAGTGGGAGTTAGTCAGAAAGTAGTATTTTGTACTTAATTGTAAAAAAGGCATCCCGAACGTTTTTGAAATCAATATTTAAATACCAGATTTTATCAACATCGTTACTTCGTACATTCATGCCCTTTAACTACTAATTTAGCTGGATTTGTTGGTGCAAGACCAAAAATTTAAAAGCAAACAAAATTTACTTTCAAAGGCACTGATTTGAACAAAAGAATAAAATCTGTTCATGGTTTTCGTGCCAACGAAAATTACCAGAGTGAAGTGGAAGACATTTTTATAATTCGATATCTGGTGATCGCTGGAAGACTTAGCCGACATACCCACAACCTAACTTGAAATTTATTTTATCTAAACTTGTCGTTCTGGAACTTAATTTGGAAACTGTAAGTTAAATAAAATCTTTATTGGTTAGCATGTACCGGTTTGGACAGTCACTGACGGAAGTCAACTTGAAGTGTTCTGCCTGAGTTATATTTGATTGTTATTCATGTCAACTGACACATAACTCATAGCTATTAGCTTGAAGCACCTCTTGTGTAGAGGAAGGGTAGTATTCGTAATCTAACAAATCCTAATGTATAAAAGTGGAGCTTGGGAGAAATCTTACTGATACTAGGTACATACCGTATTTGTTAAAAATATTAAGTATTTACAGAAACGGATGCATATCTTAAATAGCTCACTACTGGAAGTCGTCCTAAAAACACACATAATATACGGAAATTTGAGTGATAGGCATATAACCGTAATCACATGAACCAACACAAAATCACAAGAGGAAAATCTTTTTCGAAAAGCTAAAACAATAAGTGAATATAAAACTAACCTGATTTGTAAGAACATTTATGCTAATTGCAGAAGGCATACCAAATACAAGAGTGAGGAATAAACCAGCAAATGCAGCTTGTCTATGACTCACTAAAATAAAGATAAAAGTCATAGTACGAATGTTTTCTCTAAATTTATAAACATTAATCAAAGAGCAGTTAGAGACACAATTCTTATGTAAATTATGAAATATAACGTTTGTAAAGTTAACTGATTAAGAGAAATTTTTTAAAATAGACCATTTAGCTCTCAAGTAAACAAATCGCTTTCTTTGCCAAACAGTTGGTAAATGAAGGAAATGAACTTTTCTAATTTGGTGATTTGAATGATTAATGGAGAGAGAGAATATAAGACCGATTTATTAGGTAGATTTTATTTATCAGAAACAATTATTTATTCGCTATTTTTAAACGGTTTTTACAGAAATGACTAATCACTAGATTAATGGAAATTTCATTTTTTCTAAAAGTTATTTTCACCAATGACTAAGGTTATTGGAGAGTCATTGAGAAATCAGAAAACACTAGAAATGGATGTCATAATAGTATGAAACTTTTCGGCAGTGCATCATTCTAGACTCGATGTAGTGTATGTACACAGTATTGACAATTTCGAAACCATGTCAAAATAATTGTTCAAAAATCCAATTGTATGGGAATCATCAGCTTGTAACGAATTTCGGCGAAAATTGTTTTCGATCTTGAAGAGAAACTCGGAAATCTTTTAAAATTAGAACCTATGTTACAGCGGGAGACATTAACATCGAGCTATTTCGGTTGTGATTGGTCCTCTTCAGAACACCTTCTTATAAATTAATTTTAGTGGTCCAAAATCTGACTCCACTGAATAATCACTGATTAGTAACAGGAAAAATGTTTTTTAGTCTTTAGTAATGATAAGATTATATCGGCTATGTAGATTTACAGTATTTATCATGATTCACTATACTTATCATCTTCAGGATTACAGTTACGTCGCTTTATTTATACGATTCTAATTATGGTTACGTGGTCATGATTCTCATCTAATTATGTTAAGTGTATAATTTGAAATATTACAATGAGATAACAAAATGAGAGGGTTTTTCAAACTTACAGCCCAAGTCCTTAGCTGTTACAACTGTTAGTTGGACATGACCAATCAATGAAGTAATCCCGGCGAAGGAAAGACATAAGAAGAACAATGAACAGAGAACTCTTCCCAGACCACCAACATAGGCGAATAGGACAGGGATCCTTTGGTAAATAAATAATTAATATATTTAGTATATATTTAGTTATATTGCCTAGTATTATTATTGTTGTTGGAGTTAAATTTTGAAACTAATAAAATTATTTGACACCGATTAACAAACTTAGTACATTTAGAACCGATGTTTTGTATATTGTGCAATCGAATTACTGAAAAAACAGAAACACTTACAATCAAAGATAAGACTAAACTGATAGCCCAATATGTATACAAAAATAATCGTATATTAATTACCAGGTAAATGTGAGACCTGTGCTTCCAGGTCCATTTGATTGCATTATTTTCAAGATGCCAGAACGTGTTAATGTTGGTGACGTTTGTATTAAAGTTGAGAAGACAGTTGAAAAAATTGTTAGCGCACAGAGTAAACTGGAAACATTTGGTGAAAAAATAGAATCAATAATTATAGCAACAGTCTTTAGAAATTAGTAAAAAAGTTGAAGTTAAAATTCATGTTTACCGTTTAATAAAGTTACTCAACGAACATTTATACAAATTACATTAAAGAAAATGGATAAAAAGCTTATCTTACAGAGTAATAGTCATATTTAAGAAGATATTATGTATTTTTTAGCAAATATTCATGCAAGATGTGACTGACATAAGTTGTTCCAATTCAAATGTATATAGGAGATCAATAATTATAATCAGTAGTTAGGTATTTCAAGACTATTTCTCTTCTGTAGGCAGTGAAAATAGTATTGAATGCTCCATCATTAATGGTTAGTCTGGTAACTAGCTTAGTAAGAAGTGCATGAATAAATCTATGAAAGTTTCGCAATTTATAAATTGCTACCTTAATTATATTACACTGAACAATAAATTTTATATGATGTACTTAAATTTCAACTTGTTGTCAACTTACTATAAATGCTAAACGGTACTTCTATAAACTGTTTGGTTTACAAAGGACAGAAATCAAATTTTTTCCCAAAATAAGTTGACTATGATACATGGTAGTAGAACATTAGGATAAAATCTTCAGAATTCCTTCGGTATTATTGGTATGATGGTTTGATCATAAATATTGTACACAGATTAGAATAAACTGAATTAATTTATAATGTAACATGAAATTAATAAATTTCCCTTAAAGATGATCTAGGAGATGTGAATATGTTTCGAAATAATTTTATATCCTAATTCATCATTGAAATGAGAAATTTAACTTACATTTCTCATTCTAATTAAACATCTCTATAATATTACACTTCTAAAGATCTTATATTTCAGATAAATCAATCTTAATAAACACTAACTAATAAAGAACATAATGAAAAAAACTAATTCTAATAGTTTTAATGTGTAACTATTCATTTCCGTAACAATTCTCATATATCAGTTCATAAAGATTATATTTCATTAAAAAACAAACGGTAATTCACTGCCTTTTATATCGATTTAATCAACTTGCTTGTAACTGAAATTTCTAAATATATAACTATATTGCATATATATATATATATATATATATATATATATATATATATATGGTAATTAAATAAATAAAAATATATTATTATTAATAACAATAATAATAAAAATAACAACAAAGCACACAAATTCCCCATATGTTACTTTTATTAGGAAATAACTAATGTATTTTAAACGTAAATCTTATTTCTAAATTTAGTTAATGAACATTATTTAATAATTTTTCTTTTTAAAAAAAAGAATTGTAATAGAAAGTGGAACAATGTAGTTGAAAGTTTTGTTTTTGTTTTTGTTTTGCTGTATAACGGGTTTAATGATGATGTTTTATTTTTTGGATGATCTGAAGACATATCAATCTATGGAAAGTTTTTTTCTTTTCTTGGCGGAAATTCTATGTATGTTGTAGTTTATTTGAGATATGTTTTTGTAATGAAAAATTATTGTTGAAGACATCGTTCTAACATTTCTAATGTAGTACTGTGATTATTATTTTAAACTAACTATTGATAAGGTACTAATCTAATTCTATTTATATTAGATTGTAAATCTAACGACTCTTTTTTAATAATATTGGTGGTCTAACCTAGGGATGTTGAAGTGAACTAAGGTGAATTTGTGTAATAAGCGAAAATTGATTTAATGGAATAGTATAGTATTGTATTCACTCCAAAACGGAGTGAAACTTACGGCATCATAGTGATGTTATTATTTTTTTTATTGGAAGACTAAATATGGTGCACGGATACGTGGAGAACCATGCAGATAACAACCAGAATAACTTCACTGGCTGATTGAACTAGGAGAAGGAGGAGGAACAGGATGCAACAACAACAACAACATAGCGTATAGAGATGAATCCAAATAAAGGAAACACTAACTGATTGAATGATAAAGTATCAAACGATTATATGATTATAATAATTGCAATGATAAACAAATCTGTTTGTCAATCAATTCGATCATATACCTTATTATTCTTGATATAATATAGAAATCATTTTCAATCATCATTTAATCATTGTTTGCTGCATTTTCCACCTGTTCAGTGTATTCATTAAGTTTATCTTCAATCCTGATTTATTTTTGCATCAGTGTTCTACTTAATCCCTACCAGTTAGGTATTTATCTCATAAATATAAGCATTGTAATTTAACAATACTTCTCACTTGAACATTTTATTTTCAAAGTTATGACTGTTATCTTTTAATTACTTCAAGATATTGTAATTACTATTACATAAGTGACTATCATCACAGTAGTAACAGTTTTTCTTACAGTCTAGAGAATACTACTACAGTTCTATGTAGAAGCGGTACTGTTAGTTTGGTTGATTACTTGTTTTTTTTCTTACAAATAGTTTGTATTTCACAACTTCGTGTTCATTGAATTGTGTTGTTCCGTTTCCATATTCTAAATCAATATAAGGCATCAGTTACTCCTTTCTAATATACTCAGGCCTAAAATACATACAATGAAGAATATTATATGTTTATGTTTTTAAATCTCTCTTGAGTGATGATTGGTCACAAAACAAATATTTGAAAGTTACAAAAGGTAAAAATGTTCCAGTCATTTTGATTTGTTACTGTTGTCCTTTGGCACTTTACATGTCTGTCCACATAACGGCATCATTGTCAATCCTTTAGTCTAGTCTGTTATCTTTCCTTCCCTCTTCTTCACGAACCATTGCTTTGTTTATTACCAAAATAGGTACGTGATACAGACAAGAACTTCATTCAAATTAGTTGATAACTGCAATAACATTAATTTAATTGAAATAACGAATGAATTATGTGATGGATTTTTAGAAATCCTTCTCTATTTTTCTCAATATGAACTGAATAGCAAGAGTGTTATCATCATTCGAAGACAACCACATAGAATTGATATTCACAAATATGAAGAACTTTTTATCACTTAATTATTTCTGTTGTTCTCTTCAACTTTTTTATCAGAATTAACACTTACAAGTTATTAACTGTTATATTATTCAACCCTTCAGTATGGTTGACCTGTAACCATCCAAATGCTTATATTTTATAGTTTTCTACCTTAAAATTGAAGTAACGTAATCACTGTGTTCACAGCCATAACCTCATGTGATTATCAAATCAAAACTAAATGCCTCACCTGACCATATTGTTACATAGTGGAATCATGGTACCGAGGCGTACAGCACCATTTTTCCGACTAAAATACGATGAATATGAAATGAATAAAGCCATAGCTGCGCCGGTATCGAACGCATTTTGACTAGCAGCAGCAACCCATAAACTAGGAGTAAACATACTACCTATAAAAATAAAAACCAAACAACATCATTATATAAATTTCATTTACTAATTTGAAGTGACTTGTTTTATGAAAACAATAGTTACAATAACATAAGTATGTTATACATTTTATTGAGCTAACGTTCTAAAAAATGAACAATCATAATAACGAAATTGTATTGAGAGGTTTATAGATGAATATTCTATTTTTGATTAAAGTTTATTATAAGTCTGGGATCAAAATTTAGACCAGTTCGCAGAGTTAATATAACTAACTGCTCATTTTTCTCCTTTATGTATTGCCTCCTGATTATTTCAACATTTAAAACAATTAGTCCTTTTAATAAATTTCGACAGAACAATGAAAAGACGGAGTTGATCTGAAGAATCTGATGTATTTGCGCTATACATTTCATTTAATTAATCTTTATTAATTTCATATAAAATGCCTTGACAAGTTATATCTGTAACCAGATTGTTCGAAATGTATAGAGCAAATACACCAAATTTTTCAGATCAACTTCGTCTTCTCATTGTTCTGTTGATATTTCAACATTGTTTTGAATTTTACTAATTTTCGTTTTGTTTGTGTATTTTTGTCAAATATGACACCTTGAACCAATGCAATTCTGTGCAATATTTCATCATAGCTTACATTATATTCTAATAGAGTTCATTTTTTGAATGTAATATACTGAATTCGACAATGTATTAGCCATATAAGTTTATTTATCACTATGCTCAAAAGTTCATGTTGATGATTTTTAAAATACCTAACGTTATAACTTGCTTTTTTAGATTTAAAAGATACTATACTAAATAAACTAATGGTTTAACAGAATATTTACTTGATGTGTATGGTAATAACGTCTATTCAATGATAAAAGATATCGATAAGAAATTTACTTTTTCTTTCTTTGAAAGACTGTTTTTCTTCTTCTTCTTGAAACAATGCTAATTTCGAGAAGTGTTTTTTTCATTTACCAAAATTCATGTGATTTATTTTAGATTAATATAGAAAGTATGATTAGAAATGAAAGTTATACTTTATATAATAAAATTCCATTGATAATGCCAAAAGTATGGTTTAACATGATTTTATGTTAAACGACTACACTTTAATGAGATATTGCATATAAATTCAACATTTTGCTATTAATATCTTAATTAAAAGGGATTGTGTTGAAAACTGACTAAAGTCGATGATGTAAAATGATTGAACTTAGTCTCAAATGCTAAATCATATCACAGTCATTATAATCTCTAAAAAGATCTAATTGCAAGTTTGAGTATTAATATATCGTGCACAGAAGTCCAATCTTAGAGTAAAGCAGTAGCTTAGTACCTTATTATTTCGAATCATTTTCTAAGTGACATTAGTCTATGATGAAAATCTTGAACGAAAAGTCTATACTGTATCAAACACTGACTTTTATAAATTATATTTTCAAACTAACCCCAGTATGGAGTAAATAAAAATGTAATACCAACTTCTGAATATTTTCTTGTTAATGACCATCCGAATGTGAAAATTAATATACCTAATAACATAGGTACTAATACCATATTGGCTTTTTCAATCCATTTTATACCACCAAATATACAACCACCAACAATAACAACAGCTAATGTATGAGTTAATACAGGCCAGTAAGATTCCTGTATAAAATAACAAAAAGAAAGGAAAAGACAAAATAGTCTTTGTATGAATAAACAATGAAATAATCATTAGTAACTTTTTTATTGACAATCTGTATATTATTAATCATGTAAATAAACTTTTCATTATTGATTACTCTTCACCCATCTTAACAACCAATTTAGATTAAGATGAAATATTTAGTTATTTTAATATTATTCGTTTAACTGAAAAGATAAATATTATATGGGGAAAAGTGTAGATTTATTATACCACATAAAAAAGCGAAATAGTGTAGTTTATGGATAGGTACATCAGTTGTCATCAATTGTTTTATAAATGACTTCAGTCATCCACTGTATGGTACCTCATGAAGTCTCTTGTATTCACAGTTGTGGACAACACTAATTTCACTAAAACAAAGACACTAAGAAAGCAGCTTCATTAGACTTCAAAGTTTCTCGTTAGTGTATATTCTAAACACTTTCCGTGATTAAACATTCTGATAAGTTATCAACAGCAAGTTAAATTGTTTCACAGTTAACATCATGAGCTGATCTTAATTAAATGACCACCGTAAACCAAGAATCAGTGAGCAGATGTTTCGTCCCATGGTTGAACCCCTCATCAATACGCATACACGACCCCACGTTCTAATGAAAAGCCGTGAACAGTGAATTTCATTCATGTCGTGTGTGAACCAGTACATTGGGAGATGGTTGAGATATTACAATTTGATAGAAGTTAAACACGTAAAACATTGGATACGAGCTCCGTGGTCTAGAGATACAATTTTTTAGTTTTCGATTCCTGATGGTTATCGAGTGCATCTTGGAATTCACTGCTTTTTCAGCTAAATATCATTTCATGATGTTAGCTATGCAATTTTGAAAATCACAAATTCCTCTAGTAACTAATCCACATGTTAAACTTCAATTCAGTACTGATAGTGCCTAGGTTTACTGTGTACTGTATAATGGAAATCTCACTTCAAACTGATCATATCGCTTGCCTAATGTTACCAAGGTGGTAAGGTGAGCAATTCGACTAAAAGACTAAGTGATTTGAAATTGTTTAAATCATGTCAAGACCTTAAAATTGTGTTCCTAACCCTGTCTGAGATTCTAGGCACATACAACCGAGTAGTCTATATCTGGGATAAAATACCTACATGACTCTTAATAGCTGGTAATGGCTGTTAAATGATTTTAAATCTCTGATGTAAACCAAGTCTAAACTTTTATAGATGAGTAGATAAACAGATAATTTCATTGTTTCTAAGTAAAAATTACGTATTATCACCATTATTACCCAATATTGCAAAACTAATGATTAAACAATTTTAAAAAGTTATACTATAATGAAATTACTTACCTGTGCAAACTCATTGAAAATTTTAATACTTGTTTCTACATCTCGCGGCAAACTTGACAATGCACAAGATTTGTAGAAATAATATAAACACCAACCAACAATGACTGAAAAGTAAGCACTAAAATTAAAAATGAAATAAAATACTTTAGCGAATATGGGCTCAAATTACTACATAAGAGTAATAAGCTACAACTAACATTTAACATGAAAGCTATATATATGAATAATAAAAGAGCAATAGAATTACAGAATATTTGCCTCATTCATTATTATGTTTAACATTACTGTCCAATTAAGCCTACTATTATGGACATTTAAACGTTGTGTAGACTACAGATAATTTTTTCTATTGTTTAGAGTAAATACAACTCGAGTAGTAGTAAACTAATTCCATTATGGATATCACAATTTATTTGTTAACTATTTCTAAACATGAAAACTAGTCTGTTTTGCATTGGATTGATAAATAAACATATCGATGATAAAAGTCAACCGAACGTTGATAATGTAACTTTAGGTGAACTTAGAGTATTTAGCTGGAAAGTTAGTAAAATATCATTTACTTAGGGGGAACAATTGTCCTACAGATCACAAGTTGTAATTCATATACACACATATACAATCCTCATTTGGATAACTTTTGAAACTTCCAACTAAATGTAACTGAAAGTAAAAGTGTGACATGAATAAAAGAAAATAAAACTACCTGTATCCAGTTTTAACTACCTGACTTTTGTTCATTTAAGATGCAGTAGTAGAGAAAGATTCATTTCTTTGATATTCGACGAATTAGAGTATTTTTGTTGTGTAGAAATTTACTCAGAATTCTACTTACGTGATCATATAAGTTACAGCAACAATCCATCCTCCTAACCATACCAATTTATCGCCCAAAAATCTGTGAAATGCACCGAGTGGAGATGTTCGAGTAAATCGACCCAGTGTATATTCAACAATACTTAATGGTAGAGACCAAACAAATAATGACATTGCCCAAGCAATTAGAAATGTTAAACTTCCTAAAATGATTAGAAAACCAGTAACATATCCAGTGATCACTGATGAAACATTTTGATTGAGTAGTATCTCAACGGTACATTATAATCGAATTTTTAAATATACCTACCTTTTTCAAATAAATTTATTTACCAACCACACAAACAATAACTTCAATTTTCAACATAACCTTAATTGATAATCAGGTCACTGACCTCACCTTTTTCCGACTTAATTGTCATGCTCATATGTACATCTCCAAAATCTCAATACTTACTAGAAAACGAAACGTGACACGAACATTATTAAAAAAGACGTAAGCATGAATTCACTTTCACAGATGATTTGCTAACTTTAGTGTACCATTATCATTGAAATTGGTGTAAAATCAGTAAGTGTTTATTTTAAATTATTTGGGTTATACTAAAGTTAAAGTGAACATTGCCATTTAATCAATCTAATCTAATCTGTTCTTTCTTGCCTGATATTAAATAGACATCATTCTGTATGAGGAAAAAGAAACGTTGGTGAGTAAAATGTCATACGCAACAGTAATACGTTCTCTGAAAAAATGTCCAAGTTGAATTTAAAACAATAAACTTTAAAATACCAGTTCGCTAGAATATAACCCTTAGATTGAACAAAAGCCGTTAATGTACCAGAAATGCAAATATACCATAAATTCATTTATTGACGCAGTCATTTACCTTATGGATAATCTAATTAATTCTGATGTAATCAACAGTTAATCAGATACTTTAGTTTTCAGTAAAATGTCGGTGTAAAATAATACCATGTCTATGTATTTTATATAGAAAATACTTACCTTACATACTATTTAACTAGCTAAGGTTCATCATCATAACAAAACATTTTAACGGGTTCTAGACATACTATGTGTCTAGTAAACTTCTTAAAACTAGACAAATCTATGATGTCTAGCACCAATAAGGTAAATCAAAGTACTGATTCTTATGATAAGTTGCTCTAATCTTCAATCAGTTATAGCCAATCGTACTCTCTGTGTAGGATTTTACAGTCAAGTGATGTAATATTTAAAAACCTTGGTTAGATGTATTTAAAAGTATCAAAATAGAACTAAAAACATTAACTAACCTTGAGAATAACTGGCTGTGGCAATAATACGTGGAAATCGCCATATATTTCCTGTTCCTATGACACAACCCAAACAAGAAAGCAGCACTCCTATTGAAGAATTAAATGTTGATAATTCAGATCTTTGTGCATCTTTAGAATGTGTTTTCAAATTTTGTTTAGACGATGGTAGCTGATTAAAATAGTAAATTTTAAAATTTTTTATGAGTACTCTAAATTTCTGGACTTAATGTTACATCATTTAACAAACAAGTTATTTAATTAAAATGTTTTGAAAAATAGTACATTGATGGTTTAATGAAAATGAAAATTAACATTGAAGTGAAACTTAAATCATAAGTATAGTGAATTTTTATTATAAGTCCTTATGAAAATATTTTATTTACAAATTATGATATTCATATTTACCTTATCAATAGATTCATGAATTTTTCCTGAACCACACTCCACAAGATCCATATCTGACTTAAATGTTGGGTCATTTAAATCAACCGATAAAGCTTTCCAAAATAAGACTCCATTTTTACAAAGTATTCCACCCATTGGTGGGACGGTTATACGGCTTTTTTAAAAAATTATGAACAACTTCTGTTCACAAATCTGATTAAAGAGGATTATATAGGTTTTAGACGATTAGTTTGGTCACGATCTGCGGTTTATAAATGGACTTCTTATTTGTCAAAAGAATTACAACCAGTCACATAAACACACATATGGCCATAACAAAATAATTCACCAATGAAATTCATCGTTGAAGGTCATAGTGGAAAATGTTGATCGTTAACAGACATGCGCAATATTTGAATGTCAGGAATTCAAAAAACATTTTAACAGTAAAGTTTTTCTGTATTTTATTAGACAGGAACAATCTCCCAGGCTATGTGCTATAACAATTATCCAGATTAATTGATTTCATTTAATCGTTTAAATGGAGATTTAGAAATATAAATAAGATTTTAAGTGTGAATATGGAAAGCGATTTAACGTGGTTTTTCTAAAAAATGTCCCTAAATATTCAATTTATTAATACAAGTGTTCATAATAAATTGTTACATAAGTTAACACTTTATTGAACTTATACATTTGAAAGCCTTAACAATGAATATTTTGACCAGATATCGAAAATATTAAACCAGTCAAAGCTTAGATAGACAATTTAGCTCACAGCTTTTTATTCATTATGTAGAAATAAACTGAAAACGTAACAATGACTTGCGAAATTACTTATATATATATATACTACTTATCGTTCTGTGATATGAGAACTAAGGCCTAATCAAGTCTAGGTCAATCTCTGCGTTGATGATAACCTAATAACTGGTTACATCTTTCAAAAGTGTATTTAATATCACACTTCACTATGGGTATTAGATTGTAGTCTGTGATAAATACACCATTTTCCTCAACCAGTTAGATACAAAATATCATTGAGTGTTATACTTGATTACAATAGGTTCATCTTTGAAAATCGTTCCAACATAAAAATTACCTTGAAAAGATATCACTCCAGGCAGCCTACTCAGCACGCATTATCACTGGTAATTAGACCGGTTAAAGATGTATTCTGCAATTACTTGAATCATCAATAAACATTATTATATTAGACTAATATTATGAGAATGGGCCGTTTTCCGTATCACTGAATGAAATTTTAAGAAATAGTTACCTAACACTTCAAAGGATATGCTAGAGGAAAGAAAATTAGATTGCAAAGAGCCTGTCAGGATTGATGTACTTATAAAAACGACAGGAACATTGGATGGCGAAGAAAAAAATACTTGTAGTTATCGTCAGTTTTGGAATATGTCATTTGATAACATAAAATAAATTGTACACACTTAACAATGCATATGTTTACACTTTGGTCGTTGGAATGTATATTCAAGGCTATTGTGACAAACATTAGAAAAATTCTTCAACTTGTTTACTAGTGGCATGAAAATACTGATTTGCTGCTTTGACTTCGGAATAACTAAAAACCGCGTAATAAAAGACCTCATAATATTTTATTCGAGTTCTTCGAACATTCAAATAATAGAACTCATAATACATCAGCATACAAATTCATGTAACATAGAAAGAAATGGCGAACAACATAAACATTTGGTAAAATAATACAACGATTAGTTGTGGTTATGTATTAACTATCTAAAATTTGATTATATTACGAAACGTGATTCATTACTTGATTAAATTCAATATATAGGTCAGCACAATTTTGGTGTTAACAAACCAGGTTGGGTTTCTTGGTCAGTTCGTTGATGTTTTAGAAAAGTTGACATTATTTGAAACCAGGTCATTCCAGAGCATTGTAGATAATTTCTAAGAATCATGTGTTTAATTACAGATTAAATAATATTGATTTCAGATTCTTTCAAGATTCCTTCAGATTCTTTCTTTACAAAGCATATTGAATGAGACTGTGATCTTTGAATAAAGACTTTGTTTGTTATAATTTACGTGTTACACTTTCTAGAAAATATTTATTCTATAAAGTAAAACGCGTTTTTATCAATAGTGTACTTCACTCATCACTTTCAACATAATATTTTATGATGCAGGTTTATTATACAGACTAACTATAAGACACTGAAGTAACTATAAAATCTCAGTACTCCTGAGGGCTAGATTGGTTTGGGATACTACTATCAGTATGAATATGATTTCGGTTGCGATTAATCATAAAGGAACAACACCATATCATCCTTTTAGTCAGCTAATTAAGTAAGCTAGATGAGCTCTCAAACACTATGAGGAGCGATTTTCAAACAAGAGACCGTAGAAAGAGGCTTTTACTTAAAATGTTCTGCTATCATGGTGTTGTAGTGTTCATGTGCTAAAAAGACATAGCCAATGAATTATGGGGAATATAAATGTACTTCTTTACACAACCGGCAAATAAAGACTTTCTCTTAAATTTAATGATCTTATTAGCCTACATCCCAGAAATTTATATAGCTACGCTCATATACTTCGGAACAGTATAAAGAGTAGAAACAGAATATTGATGAAACACTGCTATCTGAAAAAATAATATGACTAAACATCGAATAGTAGATGAATTACATCAAAAACTAATTGATCCATGTAGTAAGTAGCAAGACACTTGGAAAAATTCATATATGAAGTAGAAAAACAGGCGACTGAAGTTTATCTATAATAGTTCATTATAGTATTTTTAAAAGGGTCTTTTGCTCAAATTCAATTCATCTCTGCACAATATATTTAATTGCTTTAATCTGTAAATACTTTATTACTAAGCTTCTGTTTATTTTATATGTAATCGAGATGAGAAAGAGATGAACCAATTCGAGCTTGTTTTCCTATATCGAATAGCTAATACAGAAACAATAATATTTTTTCTTTATAACGTCGGGATTGATTTTTCTAGTAATAAAGCTTGATTTCAACGGGTTTTTTTCTGTTGATTTGATGAATGAGGAACGTGTTGAAGTTAATACTTCCTAATGGATGAAATATTGTAGTACTGAATACATTATGCAAGTTGATGAATGATTTTCTCATGTTCAAAATCATTTTAGTTTTACGGTTTGATTAAATTCTTAATTTTTAGTTAATCTAAAATTAAATTAAAGTTTATCTACATCCTATTGAATGATATAATTTCAGTAGGCATTCAGCTATCTGATCAAGTTCTACTTTATATTAACTATTTATTCTTATGATTTAAAAAAGAAAATAAACATGACTTAAATTTATTCAATCTTAACAAGATACATGTACTTTCTTGTTGATGACATTCAAAGTTAGAATTTTGATCATTTTCTGTTGGAATATGCTTTACATGGAGAGGATGTTTTAATAATTTTAGATTCTTACTGTCTGTTTTATAAATTTTCATTCTTTAACAAATAAGATGAATATGTTAGCATATGATCATTGGTTAAGAAAAGTAAAGTGGAGAGACATACAAATAGATAAGATAATATTGAATTTATCAATAAACATTCACTTATTTAAGCTATTACTTAGAACCGAAACAAAGAAATATAAGTTAGATTAATATGCTGAAGAAAAAATTGACGACGTATGATGATTTTCACAGTAGACTAAAAATCATTGTAATAACAGATTAGATATTTGTCCGTAATTAGTTTATTTCATAAATTACAAGTTTTAACATACTACTTCCTGATATTGAAGAGAAAATAGTGAACCTACGATCAGATTCGAGGAATATGTTTGGAAAACCTTGTTTATGATATCATCTTTTTACTTTATTCTTTTTCACTTCATACATTATACTAAGATTTATCAGTGACGTTATTAACTATATAGTTTAATTATGTAGTCATTTAACTGTAGTACAATTTTTCAACATAAAAATACTTATCATCATAAAGTATTAGGTTTTTTGCATTATGTTTTCTTCCTGTTTCTATGATTTTCTGTCCTGTTTTACATTCACCTTTATTGAATGAGGATTGTAAAACTGTATTTATAATAACATTACTTATTTAAACATTAGGAAATTCACGTTTGATAAAAGGCCTCAAAATAAAATGAATTCATTTTATTCTGTATAGTTTATCTCGTCTACATTTATTTTAGATTACGTTCAAAAGAAATGACTAATCATGAATACAGTGGTATTTAAAACAGTATTCTATTGAAATATACAATGTTCTACGAGATTAAAACAGTAAATCTCATAGTAATATTGGTTTTATTCAGATGAATACATTTTATAACGAGCTTTTGAATAAATAAAAATATATGACCAATGATTTAGGTTAAAGTCGATTCCAATGCGAGTAAACGAGTTGAATTTTCTTATTTTTTCAATTTACAGGAATGTTATTATCTCATTTTATTTTACTAGTCCTGTAGAATATATTTTTTGTCAGTTTAATTATTATTTTCTATGATTGTTGTGCTAACAAATTATAGTAGTACGAATCGTTGTAGTTATTTGTTAAATTTCACACTTGTTATTCTGTTCGTTTGATCAGCTTATTGATAAAATTCACAAAAATTTCAGGTATAATATTATTTACAATGTATTATTAGTAGGAATTGATGTTAACTGGGAAACTGTTGCAAACTAGGTGAGGTATGACTTCAATTTTATATTTGTCTTGTTGCTTATCAACAGTGATGATTCAAGGAAATGTATTTAGAAATTTCAGGCGATACACGTTACATAATATTGTTATCTTCAGTAATATTACTGGATTTTTATTGCTTCACTACACTTTATAATATTTTATAGACCTCAGTCCTTTATTTTGAGTTTGGAAAATACAGTCACTTGTAAGTATTTATCTTTTATTGAATATATTTGAATTAAATGCAGATATATACCATAAATTATCTATTCTTTTATTTCAATTCACAATCACAATCATTCTCATTTAGTGATTAAAATCTAGGCTTCAAAATAACTCACCAACATAACAATTTGTCAATATGGATTTGAATGCATTTATGATTTAGTAAATGAGTTCGGAATTGGTTGAAGTTAGACATTAACACCGCTGGATGCTGACCCAGTGGTCTAAAGGTTGAGTTCGCGCTCGAGA